TGGTTTTCTTACACATTCAAAAAACAGGAGGATCGAAATTCGGTGCTCAACTTGTGAGCAACTTGGACATAAAAAGGCCGTGTGTATGTTCAAGGAAAGGGTCACACGACCTCCGTAAACACGCAGCTAAACAGAAGACTAAAGAAAGAAAGGTTTGTCACTGTTTTCGTCCAGGCTCGAAAAGGATTTGGCTGTTTTCTCGGCATCATTTAGGTTGGCCTTGTGGTTTGCATGCCGACTGGACGGAGCACCATGAATGCGTTCCAAAATACATGAACAAACGAGAGGGGCGAAACTTTAATAGACGAAAGTTCGTGTACATTACGATAGTCCGAGAAGCCGTTTCAAGGTTTTTGAGCGAATTCGCCTTCGTTCGGAACGTAGGTGAGATGTGGAGAGCTTCTTCTCTTCGCTGTAATGGTCGATCGCCAACTCAAGAAGAACTTCCGCAGTGCTTCACTAGAGCAGATCTCAGCGACGTCACTCTCGACGAATTTCTAGGGTGCCCTTGGAATCTAGCTTTCAATCGCCAAACCAGAATGCTGGCTGATCTACGGCTGGTAAACTGTTACAATACAAGTGGAATGTCGCCAACCGAACGAGGAAGACTCATGCTTGAAAGCGCCAAGAGAAATCTGCAAAGAATGCCCTTCTTTGGCCTGACTGAATATCAAGAGGCGAGCCAGTATCTCTTTGAGAAGACATTTGGGTTGAAATTCGTGACTCCGTTTGCTCAGTTGCCCGAGGACGAAACTCGAGCGGGAAATATATTGCCAATATTAGACAGTTCTGTGTTGAGTCAAATAGAGACCTTGAACTCGCTGGACATAGAGCTATACACGTTCGCCAAAAACGTGTTCTTTAAGCGCTTGACACACTTTAAAGAGGCAGATAGAATTAGAATGGAATAGGAAACTGAGTAAACATGTTACAGACCGTAAAGACTCGCAGTTTGTTTACTAATTCGTTAAACATGTTAAAATCTCATATTAAAATGTTTGCCCAATTTAGGGCCATACGAGAGAGACTTTGCGAGAGGGAACTCTGTCTCTTTAGTCTTTTGATACTAGCAGTTCTCTGGGGTCGGCTGTCATAAAGCTGCTTACTAGAACTGCAAATGAATGACCATGAATAGCTAATCATTTGAACGAGCTGTTTGCTATGGCGCCGTGATGGCGATGAGAATTGAAAGCAACTTCTAGTCGACTCAATTTCCTTTGATATCGTTCTCAAGTTTATTGTGCACATCTGTTGTAAGAAATCAATAGATTTATCTCGGGTTTGATCAGCTTTTGTTTGACATGTGTCGTTGTCCGAAATCATATTCATAATCTCAGTTCTTCGAGCAGTGACAGACTCCAGACATCTTAAAATTTTATTCAGACGTAAAAATGTGCGATTGATTCCAATTCAACTAAGATCGCAAGGGCGCTCTTAGCCCTCCCTAACTTGGGAAGGAAGCTGAAGGACATCATAACAGCAGGCTGAAAATTCAAACAAACCGATCTGTAAGTTTCCATTTCTGCTGAAAATCCATAGCCTTTGCTGAATCAAGCCGTAAACTGATACCAAGCCTTCAAACTGGATTTTTCTACACTTGATAGGTCGACAGTGCTAAAGCGTGAGCTAATAAGGGTGGGAGGGGGTAGGCCTATCCCTATTGTGCTTAGCAACTTTTGAGAAACGTTTTGGCGTTTGGAGCAACTTTTTGCGGTTCTGGCAACTTCCTGCAGGTTTTGCCTTTCTGAGCAACTTTTGAGCAAAATATCGTTTTAGAGCACGTATCAAGCACGAAAAAGTCAACGGTTTCGTAGAAAAATTCAATTTATGCAAATTTCTTGAATGTTTAGCAGCTTTTTGAAGCTTGAACACATACGTTCGGCAGGACATCAAATGAACCGTGTATTTTGTTCCGTTAGACCTAAGAGTGTTCTTAAATTTCGCCCATATTTGCGAGCAACCCTAAAGCTAAGTTTCAAGCTGTTTTTCTTGACCTAAAATATCAAGAAATTTAGGAAGCAACTTTTGAATGTTAGGTAGCAACTTTTCGAATTTCTGGCAATTTGGCAACTTTTTGGCATTCCAGTGGGCAGCTTTCCAGCATTGTACGAGCACAATCGGGGCAGGCGTAAGGGTGGGGCGCATGCTCTTTCCCCTGAACTTTCAGGAAATGTTTCTGAAATCAACAAGTGTGGTGTTAAACAATTACAAAGACAAATTTACTTCTCTGCATTTAACTTTTGATAGCCTTGAGATCTAGCGAGTTTTTCTCAACAGAGAGAGAGAGATCGAGACTAAATGGATTCAAAGTACAGTCCAGTCTTTTTACAGAAAAATACAAAAGCAAAAACCGACACAACGTTGAATGATTTTTTGAAGGTGTACTATATTTCGGCTGGCCAAACCAGCCTTCTTCAGGTACAATGGAAGATT